GCCCAGGTATAGTGAAAGCTTAGTTTTGAATATATTAATTTGTGCTATTGCCATTTCAGAAGATCCATGCCATTTTCTGTCATTATTCACATAAATGCTATAACCTAGTTTTTCAAGCTCAGCAAAAATAAGGGAATACAATTACCATTTTCGTTTATTTGCAACAGAACTGAACAAGCAGTTCAGTATCTGTAATACTAATGAATTTTATGCTTTCTTTACCTGGGCATGCACCAGTGAAATCATGCTGATTCTACATGAGTGTTGTCAGTGTCTATGTTGAGCAATTTAAACTGTCTGTTGTGAGTACCAATATGGCCACAGTTCCGGATTAGGGCTTCTGAATTGGAGACAGCTGTAAATCCACAGCTGAGCAGCAGCCAGTCCAGAGGAGCAAAAAAACCTAACTTCCAGCTTAGCTTCCTCACATCTAAGATGCAGTTCTCCAGTAAGTGACTTTTCCTTGAAATTCTGAAGATTAAAATGCTAGTTTGCTGCACAACCAGAGAGTCCTCGCTAATTCAACAGAGGCTGAATTGCTTTTGCGAAGAGGGCTCTAAGAACCCACTGTAAACAGACTCTCACTATTTTCAGCAGAGGCACTATGGACCAAACATCAACAGCTTCTGTCTGCAGCTGAAGTCCTGCTTTTCTGAAAGCCAGTCTACTGCTCCCCAGGTTTCAGATAGCAGTGCTGCACTGGCAGGCTGCCTCTATTAAGGAAACACTGTTGCTTAGCAAGATGTTGAACAGGACTCAGCTCATCATGTAGGCATGCAAAAGCCACCTTCTTCTAATAAGTGCTAGGTAATGGCAAACCAGGAGCTCCTGTTGAGATTATCATCAGCAGCTAACACATTTTTAAACGCAGGTATCATTGTCTCTGCCAAGAGAAAAATCATATACAACATCTTGTTTAATTAACGTGTTTTCTAGCATATTTTCTCAGTGTAGACAAGATCTCTAGGGAAGAATGACTCATGAATACTACATTGCCATTATGGAGTTTCTTTGAGCTAAGGATCCATTTCTCCCTATTTTCTAATGTGAGCATTGGTTTGGCTCATTACATAGCCATTAATGATTTTTGAGGAGCTCCAGGGTATTGTTAGTTAATACCAAACTGCTAAGTAGAATCCTGGGCAAGAGTTAAAATATGCATCACTTTCTTTAGTAACAACTATTGTGCAGATCTTTTTCAGCATATCACATACTAATTGCTGAATAGATTTTCTTGCTGAATTACTTAACACTTACTTTAAATGGGAAGGGCACAATATGTGACCATCTCCTTGGAAAAGGCGAAAAGAGGTATATGTATTATGGTGAATCTAGAGTTTTGTTGGTTTTTTTTATGACTCAGATTTACTCTCACAGAACGGGTAAAAGCATTATGTATCTATGAATATATAGCAAAACAGCAAGCTAACAAAAATTAGCCTGTATGGAATTGACTGCAGGAATGTTTGGTTTTTGTTGTGTTTTTTGTGTTTTTTTTTTTTTACAGTCATTGATTATTTTTCCAACAGTGCCATCATAATCAGGAAGTGCTTCCACTTCATATTGCCAAACCGTTTTAGCTAACAGACAAACATAAGAATATGTCATTGCTTTGTTAGGATACAAAGAACAACACAAGATTTTGTCTGTCAGACATATTCTCAGAAGGAAATGCATAGTATACATAAAATATTTATCATCATTTCTTACCTTGTAACTATGTCTACGTAAAAGCCAAAATAAATACAGACTGTTCCAACTGTACAATGCGCAGCGCCTAAAGTGTTTATTGCCACATTTTCTGTGACCAGTCTCCTTTCTGTTGTGGTTCTCCAGTGACTGTGTTATTCCAGGGAAATGAATAACACAAGGGTAGGAGGGTGCATAATGACTTCTGAGCAGTAGGGGGTTGTCTGAACTAACACACATGGATCATGCTCTGCATCTCCTCAGTCTGTACTGGAACACCCTTTCAGGGTGCATTTTGCAGAAAACATATAGAAGGTCAGCTACTCAGATTTCTGTGCAAGACAGGGCAGTGTGTATCACAGACACAGCAAAGCAGTCAGTTCATAGGTTCTAAGAAGAGCTGAAGGCAAGAATTTGTCCAATTTGACCAAAACCGTAATTATTCTATTCTTATCTGTGCAAGAATTAAGCAAGAATTGTTAGCTACATTTCATTCTTTTTTCCTATTCAGTGAACATGCAAGACATGGAATCATTCTTGTTTTGAAGAGTCATAGCATTTTCTGGAAATATTATATGTTCATTGGTACAAGATTTGTGTGTATGATGGAACAACGGAACAAAGAGCAAAGGAACTTAACATAGCTACCACTCACTGAAATGTTTACTTTGAAGAGAAGACTGCCAATTTGATATTTTAAGTGTGACTCTTGTGGAGGGAAATGTAATGTAATCCACTATGGAAAACAGTATAAAAACAGGCAGTATTATCTGGAAAATGGAAAATGTTCCACCTAGGAGAGTTGCTTCGGTGTCAGTATTCTCTGATATTTTCTCCCTCTGCAGCCTTAGCTAATCAGCATCATGGTTTACATAACAGAACTCTGGACTTCCCTCTTGGTTGTTGATTTTCCACTTGTGTACGTTCAAAATGTTGTCAATGATGACAGCTGGTTATTTCTTCTACACACAGATTTTTATTGTCTTATTTTATTGTTGGTATCCAGTTTTCACAAGGAACGTTTTCCCACCCAGAAGACAACGAAGGTTGGATTGCTCCAGTAATTGTTCTTTGCTATGTTTCCTTTGGGCTCTTGTTCAGTTTGTTGGATCTGAATTGCTTTAAACATAATTAGACCATTATAAATCACTCTGAATTAGTTCACATGTGACATCACCAAGGAGACCCAGTGGAACTATTAGAACATGTTTTTGGACAATCTATCTATGTAGCTATGTTGACTACTTTATCATGAAAATAAAGTTGGTAAACAGTAGTCTTTTCAGTATGATAAATTAAAATATATTGCACCATATCTATTTAACTAATTAGATTTTCATAATGCTAATAGAATTTGCCACAAACCTGATGAACATTAGCTGAAGAAAGAGCAATATATTTTATTTTATTGGGCACATCTCAGAGTGCTTGTAATTTAGTAAGGCCACCACACTTTCTGGGCAGGCTATCAAGTAGGATGTTGTAATGATCTGCATGACTACTATAGTAGATGGAAAAATGTAGCTTGTGTTTGTAGCTGTTCCATTAACATCTTGCACAGTGTGCACTCCTTTTGTGCTCTTCAGAGAATCTTGTAATAATCCCAAGTAATTATACACTGTTTAAAACCTAGTGTGTAATTAAATGATAATACGAAAGAAGGACTGAGAAAAACAGATAACCAATAGAATCCTGAAGCTATCAAAACAGATCTCGTGCCAAAGACCTTGGAATTCATCTGATTCAGTTGCTGGAAGAATGCCTGAATTAAAAATTATTCTATGAGGACCAAGAAAATAGAGCCAAATTCTGGCACTATACACTTTTCTCCCAAAATGGACATTAATGCTACAAAAACAGAATAGGGTGAACAGCCCCTGACCCCATGCTTGCCCCCCTACTGTTGTTTGTATCTGCCAAAACAAAACAGAAGAGAAGATCTAACACTTGCAGGTGAGAGAAGTTAGAAAAGGAGGGTCATTAGAAAAGAAAAAACTCATAGGCAGTGCCAGCACTGAAACACTTGACTGCAGCTCTATTTGTAAAGCACCTGTTGGCAGCTGTGACGTGGTTTATAGGTTTTGGGACAGAATGAGGACAGAAAACTTGCAGTCTGTGTTCGCTTATGTGACATGTGATTTGTTCTTGTTTTATTAAAATATAAGTCATTCCTGGGCAATAATTATGGCAATAAATATATCTATTCAGAAATAAAATCTACACCTCTAACTTTCTAGAAAAAAAAATTAAAAATATTAAATCACATGATTTTGAATGAATTTCATTAATATTAATATTTATGTTAGTTTGATGGCTGATGCCCATGTGTGTTGTCTACCTTTTTTGCAGAAATGAAATGTTGAGTAGGGTGGAAAGAAAACACGGCAAAACAATAGTCAAATATTACTTTGATAGTTTCATTCAAACACAGCCAGAAGAGACTGGGTGTAAGGGGTTATCTGGCCAGTTTTATGTTTTGCAAGCATTATACATTACAGTGTAATTGTAGAAAAGAGGGAAAAATTGTAATTTTGCCATGGATCAGGGGCAATAAATAGGTGGTAAAGGTCTGGGCTTTTCATGAGGTAGTAGCAGAGTGGAAAACGGTAATGGAACCAGCTTTGAAGCCAGTGGTTTCAAGTGCATTAGGGATTTTCCAGATCTCTTCTTTTGCCAGAATTTTCCATGTGCCATCCACACCCTCCCCTCTTGGACATGGAAAGTCCCCAGCATGTGAATTTAAGTGTTTATGATGGCTTGTGGAACAGGAAGGGAGAACACGTGGACAGCATTCAGTGGTAGCTGAGAAGCAGGACAAGATGTAGAGCCAATAAGACCTCAGCTCAAATGGCCAACTCAAGAATGGCCAGTCATTTTAATACCAGGTTCATCAGAGCCGCCAACACTGTCTTCCTTAACAACAGTATCTTTAAGGATTAGTCACATATGACAAAGAAGCTTGTGTTAACCTGAACTCCAACTACTTTCTGTGAGAATTAATGTATTTGTTTATGATGGCAGCCAAATATTCCTGGTGATCTTAAGGCAGAGAACTGAGCAGAAATGATGAATAAAGTGATCCCATAGCTAATATGTGCTAGCTTTCCTCTCTGCAGCAAACAGCTATCACTTAGCTTAGTGTCTAAACTCTTTGAAGAAGAGTATGTTGCATATATGAGGTATTTAAGTACTGTAACATTAAGGATACCTTTAGGTTTTCACTTTTCAAAGTTCAAGAACTAGCTAAGTCAGTGAAAACGAAATTAGTTTGTACAAGTGCTTACTAGGCCTTTTTTATTATTATTTTATAGGTCTTGTAGAAATTTGCCTGATGCATCCCCTTGATGTAGTGAAAACAAGGTAAGATTCTGCTCGGACAGGTTTTGTTGACACTGGAAGACATCCAATTTAGGAGCTGTCAGAAAATAAAAAGCTAGAACTTCTCCAAGTAAGATAACTTCTGTCTTTAATGGCATTTGTATTTACTTACCTATATCTACAGCATTTGACAGTTGGAATTTGAATAGCACAACACTTTTCTGGTTAGAGGTCATCTAAAGGTGATAAATATATTTTATGACACATATTTTGAGGTTGTAATGAAATCCTCCTGTATGAAGATGGCTACAATTAAATTTGCTTCAGATACATATTATCTGCAGTAATATTTTTTTAATGTAAATGGGAAATAACATATGCCTCCAAAGTTATTGTCAGAGATCTCTGAGACCTGACATAAATGATAAAAATGTTGAAATGGGGTGTTTTGTGTTTGCTCTGTGAGCTAAGTAACTTCATGCTTTTACCTTTTGCCACTATTTTCTTTTCTGACTACTCGTTTATGTGAGTATAAATGATGAAATGACCTGGAAAATTTGGTTATACGTTTTTTTTCAGTGTTGTTTTTGAGATAGAAGAATAATAGTCAAGTTCCTAATTTTTTTAATATATTTTTCCTTTTCCTTTTTCAGTTTGCATACTGATTCTTAAGTGAGTGCTACCATATATGAAAGGCAAACTAGAATGCAGAAGTATACAACAAAGAGAAGAAAAAATGTCACTCCATGTATACTTCATGCAATATCTATACTTACTATATATGTATCTCTGTGTAGTTTTCACTGATTTAAGTAAAAAAGCTTCACTGGAAGATGAATCAAACCTCTACAAATGATGAAGAGAACAGTTGTATTGGCTAGAATATGTTTGAAGCTGTCAATGAGGACTTGAGTTCATCACTGAGTTCGGTTTGTTAGTCAGCATGTTGCTACAGATGTATTTTAGGTTCTTCTGAGGTTTACCTAAGGCTTTTAGATACTTTTCTGTAGCTTGCTTTTTTGCGGGAGACCCTCTATGGTCATTGGTCCAAACCAGAGAACAGCAGTGCAGGCTGCATCCACATCAATTGCTGACTGGGTGCAGGAGGTGCTCCTCAGTGCTCTGAATTTGCTCAGGAAATTCTTAATCAGGAATAATTTGATTGCTCTATAGAGAGAGTACACCTAGTAGTTTCAAACTAGGTTCTTTGTAACTCTTCACGTACACTGAGGCTTTGCAATTACAACCTAATTTACATAGCAAGACAAAAATTAAAGTACAAGCAGAAGAGATACAAGACCAAACTTAAAAGAACAAAAATTTTTCTTGCTCTTCTATTTCTCTTGTAGTCCATGTGAGTGTACTTCAGTGGCATCATTTTGGCAGACAGTGCTGTAAGAATTCTTCAACTCCGTGGATGAATTATCTGTTCATGTCTTCCTCTTTATACTAAACTAGATGTCGTATGTCCTTCAGCATAAATGCACCATCAGTACTTTACTTCTCATGTCTTTGCTGTCCTTGAGATTGTCATCCAATCCATCCATTTCTATTGTAGATTTTACTTTTTTATGTGTCATACTGTTAAAAGAGATCATATGTGAGATCTAGAAATGGATAGCATTCAAGAATTGAAGAGGATGTTTGTGAAGCTTTATCGACATTAAAAAAAAAAAAAAATTAGGAGCCTTTTTAAATGTGAAATCTGAGCCAGTGAACAATTAAATTAAAAAAGAAGAAAGAGTAAAAGAACAATAGCCGTGTGGGAGAAAGCAGATTACAGTTCAGAGGGAAACCAAGGGGCTGAGTCAAGTAAAAAAGCTGCTAAGCAAATTTTTCTCTCATTGTGTTAATTTCAACTCCGTGGAAGTGAGCAGTACCTAAGCAATAGCTTATCTCTGTTCTGTTGGTGCAGATGTATTTAAAGATATTACATGGATTTTGATAGTTCTGCTGAGTTTAGTATTTGTCAGTACTTGTAAATATTTACATCTTGAAAGCCAGTAGTAAAACCAAAAATGGAATATTCTCTGATCTCAATCACCATTCAGTTCTATGTATATTGTATCCTTTTCGTTCATTTTGTGATGGCTAAAAATTCTCAAAACTAGAGTAGCTTAATCTTTTCATAAAGGTTAAAATGAAACACTGTTTTTAATTATTGACTTTGAATTTAGTATGTTTTGTAACACATTTTCACTTAATTCCTTAGTTGCTTGTCTCTGAGCACTGCAGTACACTCAGTCTTTTCCAACATTGTACTGATAGTTTGTCATTTCTTAATTACTTCCAGCTAATATATGTTGCTGGGATTTTTTCTTATGGCTAGGTGAAAGGATTTACAAAAGGGCCACTTGTTGCTTATTTTTTATGAAGTTTTGAATTTCCTGCATTTTTCTATGAAGTGTTTGCTTGGTGGAAACTCCCATGGTCTTTTCAAATTAGTAGAATCTTATTTGATCAAAGTTAGCATTCTGAAGTGTAGGGAAGATGCCAGAGGCTCACTTCTAGTGGATCTGTGGCTCAGCATCAGTGCTTGGTTGTTATATTTATTTTGTGTATGTTTTTAATAAAAATTTGGAGAAAAGAAAGTTTCTGTCAAAGGTTATTTTGAAATGCTGGAAAATAGTTTGGCTCTTTTACGACAACATTTTGCAATATTTTTTCTGTTTAGTAATATTCTATTATTCTACAGTAACAATGCTAGAAGAATGCATATCTATAAAGGAGAAAAGGAGCATGCATAATAGATTTTAATTTTTTTTTTTTTTTTGCTAAATGGAAATTTCGAAATAATTTTCTTCACTGCTATAGCATCAACATGACTAGTTTAAGAAATTCATACAAATTACCTACCTAGAGAGTGCTAAATTCATTACTTTAACCCAATGAAACTCAGTTCTTCTTTGAATGAAATAATGCTTTCTTCTCAAATAGAAAATACATTGGTATAGTTTTTGATGATACTCCGCAAAAAAATTTGTATATGTGTATATAACAGAGACTCTTTAATTTACCAGTTACCGTTATGATGACTTTATTCATTTGTGGATTAAGTAAAATACCTTATCTCTGCACCTGTCATCCTAAATGTGAGTAAGTTATGCAGAATTTGGTAAGAGTGTGTGTGTCTGCCTATGTATGAGCGGAGAGAACAGTAGCAAGGAAGATTTTCCTAGTACAGATGCAGCCAAGACATTGAAGGTTTGGTTTTTTTTAATTAAGAAACTTAGAGGATCTATTGTACATCAGACTTACATCTGGATGATAAAATATATGCCGGATCATGATATGTAAGACAAAGCATTATCTCACATACTTATATTAAATTTATATATTATATTAAAATCAGTAGAGTGCTTTTCTACCTATAATTTATCCCTTGTGTCCTAATGACATACGTTTCAGTTTAAGCAAATGTACAAAATTCAGAACTGCCATTTATTGCTGGAAAAAATTTATTCTTGTGCAGCAGCTGATGAGAGTGATTGCGGAGAAGAAGGGAGAGAGTTAAAGGGAGATGTCAGGCCAAAGTTAATGCAGTTTGACTGGTCAGCCAGGCAAACCTGAATGATAATTGGAGAAAGTCACAGTGGTCTGTCAGGTTATGGTTTTATGAAGTCCCACAGCCTTCAATACCTTGCAGCTTTAAGAAAAGAAGTTTTTTATATTTTCCTGCTGTTGACATTTCCAGGAGCTTGCTAGCTTCCAAACTACCTCTGCACTGACAGACAATTTTCATTTTAACACCTCTACATTTTAACACCTCTGATTTTGCAATATCACTCTTGGTTATGTCCATTTTAGAACTTACAAACCCTATAGCAAAAAATAAAATGTTGGCTAATTTCTTCAGGTTTGTAAATTGATTACACATGAATCCTCTTTTTCATTAATTATCACCAGTATTTTTTTATTTGAGTTTTAGTCATTCCACTGTTCTTGAAAACAGATTTCCTAGTTGCTAGTGTAGAACTATAAAGCATATATCAAAATGGAAATACGGATTTTGGATGCAGCTTGGTATTCTGTACTGATGAAAATGGAAACCATACTTTGTAACTATTTTTAACAGTCGCATCTATATGATAATTTAATAGAAAAAAAATGTGAAGAAATGTGTGATTAAGTGATTTGAAATAATAGAGAAAATTAACAAGTTATCACAAAAAGCTTTCCAATGCACAGTGCATGTAAAATTTTGTGTCTAAAAGTCCTGTGAGTGGGAAAATTTGTACATGACTTAGATGAATTATTTACTTCTCTTTCATTTCGACAGTAATTTGTCATAAATTTTGAGACAAATATGCAAAAAAAAGAGATTGTTTCTGTTACATTATATTAATAAAAAAATTGTGCTCCAGATCTGTGCTGACTTTAGGAGCATCAGCTAATATATCCCTCCTATCTGGAGTATTAAGGATTCCTAATTCCATATAATGTGGAATCAGAGAGTGTTAAACATCATCACAAACCAACTACCATCTAAAGGACTAGGAGATATTTAGTAACAAACTAGACTAAAGAAAACCATGAGGATAACTTGTGTTTAAACAAATTAAACATATATTCAGGAGGCAGTGTTTTAATGCTTCTCTGGTTAATTCACATAATGATAGGTCCAAATCCTTTTAATTTTGTGTTTGTTTTGTTCTATATTTAAACAATCTCTCCTGTTTTCAGACTTAATTGTGTTCTCATAACTTGGCCTCACGTTGGGATGGATATGTGCAATTAGGGAAGCAACACCCAAGAGAGAAATCTAGGAGGCGCTTTTTCAAAATCTCTGACTTTAGTTTCTCAGGAGGATACCTTATATACATAGCTTGCTTTATGGGTCAACCTGTTGGACCTCACCATTAATTTTCTTAAAGCTGTATTCTGCCTCTTCACAATCTGGGAAAGATATGGTACAAGTTGCTTCTACTTTAATGCTCTTTTACAAAGGTTAGCGTTAGATCAGGATCTTAATGTGAAGTGACTTTCCATCTCTTGTGTGATTCAGAATATCAGCATATAAAATAAGGCCAATAATTCACCCT